ATTTGAGCCGGCGGAGTTTCTGCGATTTGGTTGATTTGACACAGAATGACCCAATTGTGTAATTGTGCTAAGAATAAACAATAGATGTCCAAGATCAATACATGTAAAATTATCACCCCGAAAATGCAAGTGACAGTTCTGGCTGGCCTGAAATACCCCGGTTTGACAGGCCATCCTAATTGTTCAACTAATGATGCTCAGCTTGATGCTAATTAGTTTCAATCATACCTAAAATCAAAAACCGTGGAGGATGTTGAATATGGAAATTCTACAGTCAGCTACGTTGAGATGTAAGCTGTTTTTGAAGGGGGTTAGTTGCCATTTAAGTGCAAAAGCTCCTCATGACTTTTAATGCTAAGCAGGATTTAAATATATTTTTCATCATTGAGTTAAATTTTTACAAGCTGTTTGCATTTGAATGGCGAAAAAAAAAAACATTTTCAAACAAAAGGAAAACATGTTAAACAGATTTTGAGGTGTGCAATGCTGCCATCTGCTAAAATAAACGAGACATCTGTAAGGGGTAAAAGATTAACCACCTACACCATGGCCTCATAGGTTAATTTCACAAAAACAAAAACATTTCACTGACCAACCCAACAAAATGGTCTAAACTATGGATGATAACCAACTTTGCTGCCCAAAACAGCTAATAAACCTCAGCACACAGTGAGACTTTTGGTGTCACTTAATTTGCAGAACATCTTTACCTCTCACTATGTTTGAAAAGCCCAAAAATGGTGAGAATGTCCATTGAGAGGGGCCAGATTGCATTTTGGCCCAGATGCCTGAACTTCCCACAGCTCGCGAGAGAAAAATAATGCTTGTGTATTTAATTATGAGGCCGCGAATACCAGGGTCACTGACTCATGGTCCCACACAGACGTCATGTCACCTGGAATTAGTCCAGAGCGCCGTGTGTTCGAATCACTGAGGATCGTTTTACACTGACATGTCTCACGAAGGGCTTGAAGGTTACACTCCAAATGGATGAGCGCCAGGTGATAAGCTAATGCGGCCAGAATCAAATTAAAGGGAGAACAACTGTCTGACTGTTTGCAAATCAAAGCAGGCGTTTGAAGTGCGCTGTTTGAATCGTTTGGCAAGCCAGAGCGAAAGAAACGAGGGTTGAGGAAGTCAGAGACTGACGCCCTTCTCCCCCGCATCGGTCACGTTACACAGCCCTCGACGGAGAAGGGATGATTTTCATTAGTTCATAACCTGCTTCTGCGGCGCCTGTAAGAGGCCTCATCATAAATCATCTTTCAGCCAGCAGAACTGCTATGTTCTCTTCAGAGTGAAAGAAAAAACCACACAAGGAAAAAGCAAAGTCATTATTATGCATAAGAGAAGATTATGTTAAAGGGGTCCTATTATGCTTTTTCGCTTTTTCAACTTTAGTTAGTCTGTAATGTTGCTGTTTGAGCATAAAAAAGATCTGCAACGCATATTTTCCGGGATTTGTGATATCACAAATATCGACGAATGGGACGAGACCTGGTTGAGCTGCACTAGAGAAGGCAACAAGTGTTATCTGTGTCGGAGACACACTATCTTTCCCAAGGCAGACGAACCTAGAGTGGTTACAATTATCCGGGTTTAAAATCACGCTCAAATTGAATTGATTTTGACACAATATTACACTGAAGCTCGCAGACGGCTATGTTAAGGGGCATGACAATTCCCAACCAGGCGCCAAGTGGAGCCAATCACAACACACTGGGCCCAGCTAACCAATCACAACACATTTCGTATTTCAGAAGGCAGGCCTTCATTTGATTCAGGAACTATTTGAGCCGTTCATGCCAGACTGGGGAAAAAGGTGTTGTAATAATGTAAAATATGTGAAAAATAATGTGTTTTTCAAACAACCTGGTATGAGAGCCTGTTCTAGTACACCCTAGAGGTCTGCTACCCGACCCGAGCCCGACGGGTCCCGAAATACTTTCGGGTTGGGTTCGGGTTAATGTTTAATGAATAGCTTCGGGTTCGGGTCGGGCTCGGGTTTATAGCTAAACTAAAACTATATGCAGTAGGCTACGCTGCTTTCATAGACGCACGCACACACATTAGTGCACACGACAATGGCAACACAGCACAGAAACTTTTATTAGTAAAATAGCTTCGACAGGCTACTGACTCGCAACTTTATATTTCTCTGCAATGAGGGGGTAAAATCGCTGTTTTTGAAGTAACTAAGCCTCATTGCTTGTAGAGAGAGACGCGCAGACGCAGGTTCACACACACGCAACTTTCATCCCTCTCTCTCGCTCTCGCTAATTAAAATAAATGATATAATTAATTAAAATAAATGCGATCTTACCGCACTGCATCTCTGTGTCTGATTTAAAGCAGGCCGAATGCTAACGAGCCTTAACTGACGAAAATGACCATAATTTGCACGATGGAAGAATTATCGTCTTGTCGTATATAACCATTCAAAAACTCTGTAGAATTTATGTGACCGCTGCACCTGATGTTCATAAACTTTCATAACTGGTAAGTGTTTTTTCTTTTGCCTTGTGAACTGGCCGAACCTTAATGATTCTGTTTCTTTACATGTATTTGTTTACTGACCGTTGCATGCAATCGTGAAATACAGCTTTTTTTTTTTAACTAGCTATTCGTTGTGGGGAAAAAAATAAATAAATTTGGGTTTGGGCTCTAAATTTAATTGTGCCGCTCGGGTCGGGCCAGGTCAGACTATCTCGGGTACGAGTCGGGTTCAGGCTTCAGTTTAAAGCCCGTGCAGACCTCTAGTACACCCCCAAAACAAAATCAAGACTTTGTAAAAGAGCATGATAGGACCCCTTTAACAAAGATTATTCTCACGCAGAAAATATTATCTCACTATTCTTGTATTATCTATTACTCTGTAATTGTAGTGCTTGTGACAAATTTTGCAACAAAGACTAGCTTGTGGAAAATCATTCCGGAACATTTAAAAGTATGAATGCCACAATGCATTACTTTGAATGCAGAACACCTCTTTGAAAACATGAAGCAGCATCTGAATGATAAGAAAATGCATGCTGCGAATAGTCCATTACTTTAACCTTTCTTTAAAAAGATGCTGGAGCATCTGAATTATACAAAAAAAAAACACTGTGCTGATGAAGAATCTCAACTTCTTCCAGTGTCCCAAGTCAACACTAGCGGGCTTGATGTGGAAAAACAAAGTTAGTGATCTGCACATTCCAATCAACAAAATCCTGAGTAATTCTGTCCAGAGGATCCTCAAAGACAATGAAGACACATAGGAATAAAAACTGCCTTTATGCTATAGGACAAAAAAACATCCACATGTGAGCACAAAGACCCTAAAAGTTGAGTCTTTTTTATATGTTCAACCTGAATAGAAAGTATTGTTCTGTATTGGCTTCCGTATTATGTAGCATGCAGCAATTAGTGTCAGCCTCAGACAGATGCCACAATGAGCACTTCTGAAGAAAAGCAGGCTGCTGGAATTGTCAGGTTTATGCCTTAAAAAAATGTTGGAAAGTACTCAAAGTTTTGATGTTTTTTGTATGCAAATACAATGTCCTTGAGCAACTGTACTATAAATGTGCTTACCATATTCCTTGTAGCTACAGTATGCCCATAAAGTAGTCTGTAACATTAGGAAGGACAAATTCGGTGTCTTTTAGGGCCTGTTTACACCTGGTCATTTCATGCATTTTCGTTAATCAGATATCTATCTGATTTGTTAAAACGTTTCCATTTACACTTGGCCACATAAATGTGTCGTCGCAAAACGGATTTAAATCCGATCTTCAATTGCCGCACTATATTTACATTTAACAGTTCACGTCAACGAAATCAAAAGATAAGCACTGCATTTTATTAATTATCAGCTAATTTCAAGATCAAAGACCGCAATAGGAGAGTGCGCGGCAACAGCACTGGAAAGATAAGTTTGTCTTGTCTTGTTGACCGTCCGCGTCTTTGTTTCATTAGCGGCAGTTTGCGCGTCGGCTTGCTGAAGAGATGCTCAGCTACTCGTCTGCGGTGATGCGTGTTGCATTAGCGCAGTCATATCTGATTATAATGCCATATAGCCTATAACACACTCACACACATTTATTATTTTAACATTTTGGGAGGAGTAAAATTTACATATGTGGTTTCAACAACCAGATGCATTTACACTGGTCCAGTTTCGTCTGGAATGCGGCCCAGACCACCTCCTGAAGTGGTTTGAGCGATCGGATTTATATCCGTCTCGAATGCGTTTTGGAGGACATTTACACCTGGTCTTTTCACAGACAAAACACATGAAGTGACCAGGTGTAAACAGCCCCCTAGACACATTCCATGCTGATTTATGAGGTTGTGTCTTTGATTTTTCACTAATGTGCCATTTTCTCAATGTGCTGCCACTTTGCTGCATGGCTTTGTAAGTTTTAAATTAGCATCCATTAAAAAACCTCCAATCGTTTAATTAATTCTCAATGAAGATTCATTACTCTTGCTACAATGTTTATAACTGTATCGAAGAGTCAAAGCAGTGGAATTAAATCCCCTTCATTTTATTGATATAATTATACCCAGACTACAAAACTTTAAAGGATAATTTTGCCAATTTTTGACCAGATTTCTATTGTTACAATATCAGTAGTATGTGTAAACGAACAATTTGTAAACTTCCTCTGCATTACCTGCAACAAGATATGTTCATTTGTTAGCAAAAGTCAGCCAAATACAAAAATGCAAAGTCATTTAACAAAAGCCCTGGAGTTATCAAAAGGCAAAACTTTTGACAGCTTTTGTTAAAACTACAAATTGATCTGCCGCATTTTTGTATTCCTGCTGACAGTCAGATCAACAGAATGGTATTGTCCAAATCAAAAATGCATTACGGATGTTGAAGTTTTTGTCAAAAATAAACATTTTCATTAAAAAAAAATTCTTAAAAGCCTTGTCAGTTGTGAATTCCCCCTTTAATCATAAAACATCAGCCTCAAGCATAAACAAAGTTGAAATTGGTGGGGGTTTTTTACCTTTCAGCATCGCTCGACCTGTGGAGCCAACAGTGAAGCCGGGCAGAGAACTTCGGGCCCCGAGAGCAGCTGTGGCCTCCAGCAGGGCTCCGCTCAGCTGCGAATAGTCCATTACTTTAACCTTTCTTTAAAAAGATGCTGGAGCATCTGAATTATACAAAAAAAAAACACTGTGCTGATGAAGAATCTCAACTTCTTCCAGTGTCCCAAGTCAACACTAGCGGGCTTGATGTGGAAAAACAAAGTTAGTGATCTGCACATTCCAATCAACAAAATCCTGAGTAATTCTGTCCAGAGGATCCTCAAAGACAATGAAGACACATAGGAATAAAAACTGCCTTTATGCTATAGGACAAAAAAACATCCACATGTGAGCACAAAGACCCTAAAAGTTGAGTCTTTTTTATATGTTCAACCTGAATAGAAAGTATTGTTCTGTATTGGCTTCCGTATTATGTAGCATGCAGCAATTAGTGTCAGCCTCAGACAGATGCCACAATGAGCACTTCTGAAGAAAAGCAGGCTGCTGGAATTGTCAGGTTTATGCCTTAAAAAAATGTTGGAAAGTACTCAAAGTTTTGATGTTTTTTGTATGCAAATACAATGTCCTTGAGCAACTGTACTATAAATGTGCTTACCATATTCCTTGTAGCTACAGTATGCCCATAAAGTAGTCTGTAACATTAGGAAGGACAAATTCGGTGTCTTTTAGGGCCTGTTTACACCTGGTCATTTCATGCATTTTCGTTAATCAGATATCTATCTGATTTGTTAAAACGTTTCCATTTACACTTGGCCACATAAATGTGTCGTCGCAAAACGGATTTAAATCCGATCTTCAATTGCCGCACTATATTTACATTTAACAGAGTTCACGTCAACGAAATCAAAAGATAAGCACTGCATTTTATTAATTATCAGCTAATTTCAAGATCAAAGACCGCAATAGGAGAGTGCGCGGCAACAGCACTGGAAAGATAAGTTTGTCTTGTCTTGTTGACCGTCCGCGTCTTTGTTTCATTAGCGGCAGTTTGCGCGTCGGCTTGCTGAAGAGATGCTCAGCTACTCGTCTGCGGTGATGCGTGTTGCATTAGCGCAGTCATATCTGATTATAATGCCATATAGCCTATAACACACTCACACACATTTATTATTTTAACATTTTGGGAGGAGTAAAATTTACATATGTGGTTTCAACAACCAGATGCATTTACACTGGTCCAGTTTCGTCTGGAATGCGGCCCAGACCACCTCCTGAAGTGGTTTGAGCGATCGGATTTATATCCGTCTCGAATGCGTTTTGGAGGACATTTACACCTGGTCTTTTCACAGACAAAACACATGAAGTGACCAGGTGTAAACAGCCCCCTAGACACATTCCATGCTGATTTATGAGGTTGTGTCTTTGATTTTTCACTAATGTGCCATTTTCTCAATGTGCTGCCACTTTGCTGCATGGCTTTGTAAGTTTTAAATTAGCATCCATTAAAAAACCTCCAATCGTTTAATTAATTCTCAATGAAGATTCATTACTCTTGCTACAATGTTTATAACTGTATCGAAGAGTCAAAGCAGTGGAATTAAATCCCCTTCATTTTATTGATATAATTATACCCAGACTACAAAACTTTAAAGGATAATTTTGCCAATTTTTGACCAGATTTCTATTGTTACAATATCAGTAGTATGTGTAAACGAACAATTTGTAAACTTCCTCTGCATTACCTGCAACAAGATATGTTCATTTGTTAGCAAAAGTCAGCCAAATACAAAAATGCAAAGTCATTTAACAAAAGCCCTGGAGTTATCAACAGTTATCTTTTGACAGCTTTTGTTAAAACTACAAATTGATCTGCCGCATTTTTGTATTCCTGCTGACAGTCAGATCAACAGAATGGTATTGTCCAAATCAAAAATGCATTACGGATGTTGAAGTTTTTGTCAAAAATAAAAGATGATAACAACAGGAAGCCATAAGAGTCAAAAAAAGACCTCTCTTCTGAACAAGTAACTGCTTAATGATCAGCCCAGTAAGAGCAGAAATGGAGAACAATCCCAGGTCTTGCGATTAAACTTATCCTTATTGAGGTTTGGTGATTTTACTCCTATCTTTGACGTAGTGCACCTCTCCTCTCTCTGCAATGAGCAGCCATTATTTCACCATTACTGATCCCAGACTGCATTTCTGCCAGCTGATTCCAGGAAAGTCATTACAGCTGTTGTCTGTGCCCTTCCTCTGAAACCATTGACCCAGCTTCTTTGACACCTCTCTCTCCAAACGGCACCGGCTCTGATGAGAATTAAACCACTTTCATTAGATAAATGGATTCAGCTGCGATGCAACGTGACATAGCAAAGCGAAGCGAAGCACAGGACCTTGAAGACCTTTCACTTAGGTCGTTTATAATGCAAGAACAAAACCAGAAAGAAGCATGTGTAAATAACAGTAAGGTGTTGTTTACAGTAGGTTCAGATTTTTTTACTTGCCCTGACAATATTTTGACTTGTATATTCCACATTCACTAGTTTGGGGTTAGTAAAATTTGGAATATTTGCAAACGATGAAATCTGTTTTTCTCTCCAAGACTGCATTTATTTAAACTAAAATGCAGTAAACCGTAATATAGTATGCATTATTACAATTTAAACAAAACTTATCTATTTGAATATTTTTTTAAATGTAATCGATTCCAGTGATGCAAAGTTGAATTTTCAGCATCGTTACTCTAGTTTTCAGATTCACATTCAGACAGAAATCATTCTCATATACTGATTTGCTGCTCAAGAAACATTGCTCATTATTAAACAGTTATGCTGTTGCTGTTTATTATTTTTGTGGAAAACATATTACAGCAATTTTGTTTCAGGATTCTTTGATGAACAGAAAGTTTAAAAGAACAGCATTTACTACAGTAGAAATCTTTTGTAACATTATAAATGTCTTTACTGTCACTTTTTTCACACAAAAATGTAGTGTGCAGTTTGTACAAAAATGGCAATCATAAATACCTAAATAAAAATATATTTTTCTTCCTCACATATAAAATATATTAAAATCTTTTATATACGTCAGCAAGAAAAATTTATTTTTAATTTTTATTTAATGTCAATTTTTTCGGAGCCCTAGAAAAACAAGCAGCAGATGCAATATTTCAAGGATGAGATGAGTACCGTCTCTAATTGGACCCTCGCCACCGAGGATAAAGGAGCTTATTGCCACAGCAACCAGGATGAAAGATTCTTATTAGTGCTTAGCAAGTCAATTGCTCTGAGGGTTTCTGCAGGTTTTATGAAGGTAAATTTAAGAAATTTAAGAATAAATTGAGGGAAATACATGTTCTCTAAATGTAAATGTCTAGGGAGCACACTTTAAGTTGTATTAGTGACACTACTGTTCATACCAATTCTCCATTACTTTATTAATTTTACTAAAAATAAAAAAAAGAAAGAAAAAAAAAACGTATGGGTTGAATAGCTCTGACCCTAAATGCTAAAATATGGAAATAACTTTTACTGTACCTTCTATTCTCACTGCAAAAAATTTACTTTGACTTGTTTCCAGTGGAAATGTCTAAAACATTCTTAAATCAAGATACGTTTATTTGAGAAGCAACATGACATAAGAAGTTTTGTTTTCACAGAAACGTATGTAAAGTAAGTGAGTTTATGATTAAAACAAGAACAAATATCTGCTAATGGACTCGGAAATCAGCTTAATTCAAAGGGAAAACAGGTTTTCACAGCCCAGATATTTGTTCTTGTTTTAAGCATAATCTCAGTTTTATTCAGTTCAGTTTCAAACTTCATATCTTAATTTTGTCTCTCAAGTAATTGTATCCTCCTGACTTAAGGATGTCAACAATTATGCCATGACTTTATTAATTTAAGACCTTTATAAGACCCGAAGAAACCCTGTACTTAGTTACTTTTTCACTATAAAGAACCTTTTGTCCAATGAAAATATTCTTCATGGAACCACAGATATCAATAAAGAACCAATCTTTTTAAAGTGTGCAGGTTGTTGCTATAGATCTTTTTTAATATTTTGCTATATATTTCTATGGGGTTGAGTGGTTACTACAGCATTTCTAGATGGTTGCTAGCTGGTTCATGTTAAAACTGTCAGCTTAGGAAAATAATAACCTGGCATGTTTCAGTGCTGCAGAACGTGTGTGGCTTTAGAAATACTTTTAAAGGATGACATGTTTCTCAGTCCTTTCACTGACATTAATGATCGAGCGTTGACTCTCTCTCACTGGCATGTCCCCATCTGACCACAGCGCTAGCAGGTGTGTGAGTCACCTCTAACTGCCCTGTGAAGATGGAGGTGGTGACAGTCTCTGGGCAGAACTTCGCTTTCGTTTTTTGTAACATTTTCGTAACATGTAATATAACACTGGTTTCAAACAAACCATCAATGTGTCAAATTCAGTTGTATTATTATCATGTTAACCAGGACCTAAATGAAATCACTTCAGTGTCTGATGTCATTATGTCATGATTATCTAATCAGATTTCACTGGGAAAAAACATTCATTAAGCAGGCCATTAGAATCCCATTGAGGCTCAGTTTGGGACTCTTGGTTCTCAGACTGTCAGAGCTTCATCGTTGACCCTGTCTTGTTCTGGGCTCTCTATAGCCACTAAGCTATAGCAGGTGCTTTGTAGAGAGAGTCAATTCTTGAAGGTCTTGAAACTCTAGCTGGGAGGGTCAGTGTGTCTCAGTCCGGCTCTGAGGCCGCAGACACGCAGGAACGGCCGGAATACCTTGAGAATGACTGACACACAGCAGCTGAGTACAGTACTCCGCACATCCAGTCCCTGCTGGCTTCAAACGCATAACAAACTGAAGGGTGCACAACAACTATGCAAAATGTAATTGCATAATATTCTCATTTTAAATCAATTTAGTATGGAAGCCTGTTTTAAAAGAAATAAAACAGTTATTATGACTTTATATCTAATTTCTATTGTGTATCTCCTAATATGACATTATCTCACCTTTTCGTCTATACTGAATATCCCATAACTGTGACTCTCATTATCAGCAGTATCTCACAAAGTGACTATATTTCTTAATTTAAACTTTATTTATTATTTGCAAACAGATTT